TCATTGGTGGCTTTCCAAAACTGACCGAAGTTTTTTCTTTTGTGGTGTTCAGCTTTTATGTCCATTTTTATTTGTGTCTGATTATTTTGGCACCATTTTAATTTAGCTTCAAAAATGCATCTCGATTCACACATTTCATTATATGCGTGACCAGAGCCGGGTCTGCCATGTAGTGACCAACTTTGAAAACAACGTCGAGCCCTCCCATGTGCCTCGCGAACGTGTTTGTTCCAACCAGGTAAGTATTTACCTTTTTCGCCCCGTCCTAATACTATAACTACAGATAGCGGCCTCCGAAAGTATACACACAATATGTTCATACAATCTCTCAAGCGCTATTTTGTGTTGATGCTTACTACACATACTATCGCAACAATCCGAATATTCTGCTGGAAAATCTATTAATTTTAACCTGGAGTTACATTCATTGTAATATTCGCCAATTTGATCATTATCACACTCTCCCCATATGATTTTATTAATACAATTATTTGACTGAGCTAATTTTGGTGTTACAATATTGAAATTACACTCCATCAATACAGGAAAGTGATCGGACCAGTAGGTGTCGTAAAGAACACATGCAGAAAGTACAGTAGGCCTAGCCGCGGTCGTGACCACAACATGGTCCAGCCACCTTAAACTACCATGCGCTTCGCTCACAAAAGTATAGGTATCCGATGGCAACAAGTCGCTGTCTACACACGTCCATAATTGTTCAGAGCATAATGACAATAGTTCTGTGTCAAAAGACTCACCAGGGTGCGCGTAATAGTCCCCTAACATAAAAACAGTTTCCACATTATGACTTTCAATAATAGCCGCCATCTCACTAAGACACTCTGTGAATTCCACTAGATTTTCTTTTTTATCTATCGGCATATACACTGCAAAGACTATAAAACAACGATCACTTAGCTCGATTTTAATCGCCGCAAGCCTGACACTTCTACACTTCACTACGGTTACATAAGGAAACACAGCTTTTCTCCACAAGGGCCACACCTCCGTATGGTCGCCCGCGTAACACACCGTCCGCAGTATCGACAGCTGAGGTGCCCGCGAAAGCGAAATCACTGTCGATGGTTCCTAGGAAAGCGAGGTCGTGTGACAGCAGCCAGGTCTCCTGTAGGGCGACCACGTCCGCTGAGCGACATAGCCGTCGCACACACTCCACTGATCGAACTACGTTCTTACAGTTAAAACTGACTAATTTGGTGTAACCTATTTTGAAAGTTGATTTTTCACCCCAGCCTTGACGGCACTTCCTTTTTCACGATATTTGAAGTCAATAAAACGCCTACAGGCTACTCCTTCCGGCCAAAAGGTTTCTGACATAAATACATTTAATTTATGTTTAGGTACAAATATTTTGTACGACTCGTAATCTTTTGTTATTTTCATTTTTATCTTTTCTACGTTGACGTCAAGTTTACTCTTTTTCTTTACATAATCGGTTATATCACTCACAGACACTCCCTTCGCCACATTATAAATGTATACCGGGATCTTAATCTCTGCCGCTCTGAAATTGTCTCCAGGCTCTGAAATAGCCTTCCCTCTGTATCCAGAAAAACGATTACGCAACCTTTTCTTTTGAACCTTTATCCACTCATCACTACTTACTTCTGATCTCTAATTGCCTTCACTGACAATTTCTGACATAGACTTTGCATGCTCTTCACTACGTGTATTCTGTAAATTCGTTGCGAGTACATCAGCGTTTACGCTTTTATTAACCTGCAATAATATTGGGTCGCTCGGTTTTATGCGTGCGGCGGCCGTGTGTTAAACTTAACATCAGGTGAGCCGCATGCTCGTTTGCCCCCTCTTCTATAAAAAAAAAATAAAAAAATAAAAGTTGAATTGTTTACTACAAGTTTACGTATTTGGATTGGGTGTGGGTGATGTAAAGTATACGAAACGTCAGGAATACTAGTTTTATTTAATAGCCACAGTATTGTTTAGCGTCGTCATTGATTTTTTCCTTTCTTATTACAGCCTACATTTTGATATAAGACTCGTAATGTTCGAGGATGTGGTAGGCACAGGTAAAATTTTGTCCTCATGAAATTGTAAGCCCTAGGGCTATAAAAGTGTAAAGGAAGGGTAAATGTCTTTAGTTGCGTATCATACTCTTGTTTAATTTTTAATTTTGTTTTTTCTTAACCACCTTTTCGAGATATGCTGCAACAAATCGTTTAAAACTAGACACCATTACAGCACTAATGTCATTTTGAAGTAAGGGAAGCCTTTGAAGATTTATATCACTTGAGACAACTTTTTTATTTTTTATTAGCCCGTTTTTTGTGCTTCTTGTGGTTTCTCCGAAGAATACCAATAGATTTCTTCATTTTTTTCTTTCTTACTGGATACTGGGGTTATATCTCTGTAGACATATGACGATGCTTTGCGTTTCGGCTTCAATACAACCTATAAACAAATATAATTAGGGTATATTTCATGTACTTATCTATATAAAATGAATACTAGGCTGCACTAAAAGTATCGGGAATGGAATATTTCCACTGTTCCTGTCATATTAAAATCTTTTTAATTGAAAACTCCTTGGTTTTAAAAATCGAATACCATTTTTTTTAAAAAGATTTTCGGTCTTGTCACAAGGTTTTGTCGAACTTGTTTAGTCGCTGAGAAAATGGAATTGACTCAAGAAAATTCAAGAGCGATCATTTATTATGACTTTCGAAGTGGTTTAGCACAAAAACAATGTGTTGACCGGATGATTTCTGCATTTTGGTGATGAAGCCCCATCCAAAACCACAATTTATCGCTGGTTTGCTGAATTTCAACGTGGACGTGTCAAGCTCAGTGATGATCCCCGTCAAGGTCGTCCAAAAACTGCAGTCACCCAAGAAAACTTTGATGCTGTGCGTAAGCTGATTGAGGAAGATCGACATGTGACATACCGCGAAATTGAGGCAACTTTAGACATTGGCATGTGTCAAATACAAATAATCTTGCATGAACAATTAGGTGTAAAAAAGTTGTTTTCCCGATGGATACAGCATCCGCTCTGTAAAGAGAAAAAAAGCGGCTCGCGTTACTTGGTGCGTCAGAACTCTCGAAAGATTCCACGCAGGATCCTCAAATGCTGTATACAACATCGTATCAGTTGATGAATCCTTGATATATACGTACGAACCCGAAACAAAAAACCAGTCACGAGTTTGGGTGTTCGAAAATGAGTTAAAGCCAACAAAACTTGTTCGTTCACGGAGTGTTGCAAAAAAAATGGTGGCCACGTTTGTCTCCAAAACCGGCCATGTTACGACTATTCCTCTTGAGGGACAAAGAACGGTTAATGCAGAATGGTATGCTAGCATTTGTTTGCCACAGGTCGTTTCTGAACTCCGTAAAGAGAACTGCAACCGCCGCATCATCCTCCATCACGACAATGCAAGTTCTCACACCGCACACAGAACAAAAGAGTTTTTAGAGCAAGAAAACATAGAATTATTAGACCATCCGCCGTACAGCCCCGAACTAAGCCCTAGTGATTTCTATACTTTCCCTAAAATAAAGAATAAACTGCGTGGACAGAGATTTTCATCACCTGAAGAAGCTGTGGACGCCTACAAAACGGCCATTTTGGAGACCCCAACTTCCGAATGGAATGGTTGCTTCAATGATTGGGTCAATCGTATGGAAAAATGTGTCAAATTTTGCGGAGAATACTTCGAAAAGCAATAAATACATTTTTAAATAGTAATGTTGTGTCACTTCCTTGATTCCCGAAATTTTCATTGCCGCCCTCGTAAAATGAGGTTTTAACCACCCTTTTATCTATTTCTGCTGATAAGTAGCAGTACTTACAACGGCACATTCTAGCCTGTTGAGTATAGAGAGCCTGAATAATTAGAGGATGTAAGGCATTTTTTCTTAATCTTCAGGGGTCAAAACACATTTGTAGCTTTCTTCGTTGGAAGCTAACTGTAGGTGACTATATTGGGTGTACTGCAGTAGTCGTTTAAATCAAGTAATACAGTAATTTCCTTTTTTACTTTCGTTTAAAAACTATATATTACAAGGATGACGACAAATTTGACAATTTACACATTTCAACATGCGCAAACGAAGTGAACACATGTACAGTAAATATATCATCATCATCATCATCATTACAGCCCTTCACAAGTCCACTGCTGAATATAGGCCTCCCCAAAGAATGTCACAAAGTATGGTCCTGAGTCACCTGCGTCCATCGACTTGCTGCATGTCTTACCAGGTGGTCACTCTACACTAGTGGGGGGTTACCCCACACTACGCCTACCGGTACGAGGCTGCCAATCGAGAACCTTTTTTTCTCATCGGTTGTCGGTTCTTCAAGCTATATGCCCGGCCCATTGCCACTTCAGTTTACTAATCTGTTGGGCTATGTCGATCACTCTGGTTTTACTGCGGATATCCTCAGTAAATATAATATATAATAAAGAAACAACGCACGGGCATAAATAATGTGGGTATAAAATCAGAATGCAGCCTTACTCTTTGTGCACTTCTATGATAAAACATTTTTGTTCAAAGTGATTGCTACATATAGTTGTATATTTTTTGGGAACCCTGTCTTCTCTATTTATCATTTTTAACCAATTTTAACCTCAGTTTTTTCCGATATCTGAAACATTATAAGAGTTTAATTTGTCTCACTAAAGTATTTACTATAATGCTAAATATTAAATATTGTAAATTACAAAAAAACTAAGTTAAAAGAGGCTGTATCTAAAGATATGTCTTTGCCCGTTATAAACATATTATCGATAAGATGACATCGGTAGTGTCAATCTCTACAAAAATAAGAAGTGAAATAGCGGGAATTCACGTATTTGTTGAAAATTTTATTATAATTCTTAAGCATTTAGAGAATTGTTGTAATAAAATGCAATGCGATATTTTTCTATATACATTTGTGTATAAAACCATTTGTACCAGTTCTAATTGCATTTAGAGTGCTAAACATTTTAATTGTACTTACGTGTGAAATGTCTAATTTTGTGGATTTTCTTTTCTCTATGAACTGTATTCAGGTACGTACACGTGTCCATATTACACCTTTTAAAAACATATTTATACTTAAAAATCAAAGATACCGCGAAAATAAGCGGGATTTGTTTTGTTAACGATTGACGTCAGCCCATCTATGCGTCAGCCCGATATAGGTCTATAGCGTGTACGTGTATGGTCTAACCATTCTGTCTCGTTCTAACGTAAGATATGCTATACCCCTTCTCTTTTACATTGCCAATCTAACTTATGTATATACTAAATCTATGGTTTTTACCGTAAACTATTTGATAGCAGCCAGTTAAAATATGAAGTTTTATTGACACGCTTAGTGAAAATTAAAAATAATATTTCATCCTGTTTAACTAAGATATTTATATTTTCAAGTAATAGGAAAATACTTTTAACTTTTATCTACGAAATCACTTCAGAAGGGAATTAATTTAGTAATATGTTGATGTTTCATAAATATTGTAATTTATCAAAGGTATGCTGCCATTATTTTTTGTACGATTTTATACACAAATAGATATGCAATTTCACTTTATTAAAGTTAATATCAGTTTCAGATCTTACTGAGAAATTTATCAACATCAAAGATACTTTGCAGTGATGATCTATTTGTTCATAGAGACAACTCCGATAATAACCCAAATACGCCCTTCGAATTCACTGAAGCCAATTTGACTGTAAGTCGTCTTCAGCCTATTTTTTAAATTATTAAACTACATTTAAATAATGATAAAAATTTTAGCGTTTGAAAGCTATTATCCAAAACTATCCTGAGGGAGCACAACGGTCAGCGCTAGGCGCAGCATTGGATATTGTTCAAAGGCAAATTGGTTGGATACCTATATCAGCTATGCATATAGTAGCTGAAATACTTTCGATCCCACGAATGAGAGTTTATGAATATGCCACATTCCATACTATGGCAAAGAGGTATGTTACTCTATTTTTTAAATGCGGATACTCTATGACTAGTTCAGTACTAAAGTATATTCATTTATCATTCCATTGTTGTTCAAAATTGCATAAAAAAGTATTTTTTATATTTTAATTTATTTATAGACGGTATAGAGGAAAATTTAACATAAAAGTTTGTGTGACAACGCCTTGTATGATTCGTGGATCTGATGAAATTCTACAAGCGGTTGAAGTTGCTACGAAGTGTATTGAAGGAGGTCTCTCAGATGATGGCTTGTTTGGAGTTGATACAGTTCAGTGTCAAGGGGCTTGTGTTCACGCTCCATTGCTAGTTATTGATGATGACTATTTTGTTAGTATTTAACTTATATTCATATTTACTTCTTTCTAGTTAAACTTATAGTTTCAGAACTTTACCATTCAAGTTCGCTGTACTTGTAAGGTTTTATATTACATTTTTTTGTTTTAGGAAGACGTCACCGTAAACGACGTGTATAGTATAATTCAAACTCTTAGAAATGGATGTATACCGCCGCCTGGGCCTCAGTCAGTATTTAACAATTTAACCATTTTTGCATATTTCAAATAACTAATTTAGTCATCGTTAGTACCTTGTGGCGACTAAAAGAATTCTAAAACGATTCATAATAAACAATGCTGTGGGGTAAAATAAATAAATTAGCTTTACATGGCCCACATACATATAACTAAACATCATCGTATAATCATCGTTCGTTATTGAAATCCGAAAGTATGACACCAGGATGCGACCCGGGGCCAATTATTCTGTAATAAGTCCTAACAGCCCTAACTCCGCATCACAATCTAGCCATCATTAGTAATATTGTCGTGTGGTAGCGGCGTAAATAAATCCATTACCCCTTTTCTTCTTACGGGTGTCCTAAGAGACGGTTACAAGAAATGTCAGATTTTTATGGCTTCAGTAATGACCAATAGGTTATTACTGAAGCCATACCAGTAGAGGTGGATGTCTAGCAGTGGACTCTTACGGATCGATAAAGGAGAAGAAGAGATACACTAAGTGTTGTTGATGTCTTTCCGACTGATTTCAATTTACAACATTTTCTGAAACAATTTAATAGTCTCGAAGAAAGAATATATATAGAAAATATATATAACATTGTGGATGGCAATCATTTATGTTAGTTAAGCTGTGCCCAATTTATTGCATATGTAATAAAGTCGAATATAGGCTATGTTGAATTAGAATAGGATAGAACAGAATAGAATAATTTTTAGTTAACATAGATTATAAGCCATTCTTATATAATATCGTAAGTCATTTATGCTTTTACCATTGATTCGGAAAAAAAAACATCCGCCTTGGGAAGGACCAGTAAAAGAACTCTCTAGTAGTAATCTAGTTCGTCTCATTTTAAATAAAAATTTGCAGAATAAATCATAAATTGGAAATATTATTGTAGCGATCACCGCATTCCTCAGCGTTATTTATCAGTCGCATTCTTTTGTTACCCTTTTTATACAGATTTATTTTAATTAAAGAGATTAAATTCTTGATTTTGATTCTTGAACCTGCATATTTTCTAGCTTTGTTGTGAAAGCCTATAAATAACTTAACCTATATCAATGCCCCTAGAAGGACATTATGCTATGTAAATTAGTTAAATAAACTAATATAACTGTTTCAAAACAAATAAGGCTTCTTATCCTTTACACAACAAATGCTGTAGACCTAATCCCGCTTGCTAATGTGTCTACACTGATTAACAAAAAAACTGTAGTATTTTCGGGGGTGCTAGTGAACAATAGACAAAATAAGATCCAATACCCAACATTTTGTGTTTTCTTTTAGAATTTTTATGAGATTTAATAGCTACGTGATGATATATTATATCGGTATATAGAATATATCACCACGTAGCTATGAAATCTCATAGCTAAATAATGTATCATCAGTAACAACAAATTAACGCAGTCACGGTCTTAATTTTAATTATATATAAATAAGATTATTTCTATGTCAGAAGCGGCAGGTACGGTGCTGAGCCAGCTTGTGGTCTTACAACTTTATTGGAGCCTCCGCCACCCCCAGGATATGGACTACAAAAAGCGCTCTTACAAGAAACTCCAAAACACCCATCTCCAAAAACGAAATAATTATGAAATTTCCTTTGTTATGTTAAAATGTAACTGATTCTACTAACTTAATTTCTTACATTGATTCTTAACAGAGTATTATACCCATAGAATACTATAATACATAAGTAGTCTATGATTATACCACTAATAAAATGACGTTGATGATTAGCATTCTTTATTAATTTGATCTCAAACTTTTAGAGGTTTAAGTAAGTAAAGTGGTCGAAAGTGGAGTAGGATAAAATAGCGGTAGTAAAAGTGGTGAGACTTGGACCACATTTGTATCAAATAGTTGTTCTACCTTACCTACTTCACCTAGTTCATTGAGAAGGCTTACTATGCAATTGATATCTATTTACTTTTAGAAAGTTTGGCCGAAACTTAAATGAGATTGTACAGATGATATTAGATACGAAGTAGGTCTTATTTAAGAAACTATTTGATATATTATAAGTTTGTTCTTTAGACCTAAGTATTTTGTTTTATAGAATACACGCCACCCATTAATAACTGACCAACCAGGAAAATTGCCGTCAAGTGCTCTGCCAGTCTTAAAGCTGCTAATAATAATGTTTTTATAGCTGCTTAAAGATTGTATAGTTGTTCAGTGACTTTACGTCAAATATCTTTTTACGTTCAATATTTTTTTAGTGAGTGTTTAATATAGTATTACTGGTCCGTGCGAAATTTGATGCGGAACATTGATTGGGCCAGACAAACATACATTGTCGGTTAAAATTTTCTATCAAACACCATCATTTAAGGAAGCGAAAGGATGGTGCAGAAAGCTACATTCTTAAGCAACGAGGAAGTTTTAAATTCTTTTATTTTCTTTTTTTCTAAAAAAAACATTACTACCACACTAGGATTTTCACCTGTATCGTGAGGGCAGTTTACAAACATAAATTTCACAAAGACTAACATCCGGACCCGGAACAATTACTTGTAGGCCATACAAATACTTGTACCGTGCGGGATTCGAACCCGCGGCCCTTAGTGCAGTAACTCATTGCTAAGTCACTGCGCCACGGAGCCATCTGAAAATTATTATTTTTTTAAATTCTCTGATTTGAAGTACAGTCTATTTCAGTAAAATCGAAATTTCGCGTAAAATATGCAAATTGAAATGTAAGGCAGCAAAAATATAACATTTTGTCATACTTTGGCGCCGCGGCTAAGGATCTTCCTTAGTACGAAACACTACTTCTTCAACCATAGTTTAAACTCGAGACTATCAATACACTATGTTTTGTAATAAGACAGACACCATCTTATTTCCTACTATATCGTCTTTCTTACTATATCCGTAATCCGTTCTTATCAAATTCATATTAGTTAAGTCTGAAAATAATTACAAACTATTTTTTGTAATAATACTGTAAGCGCTGCAAACTTTTTTAGATTGTTTTGGGATTAACATTTTCACCATATCTATATGTGCGACGCGCAGATCTATAAATTGGCCATGGTAGGTCTCAGGAAGTACGATTTTGGCCAATTAATAAAATATAGTAATAAGATTAGCCATTCGCAAAGAAAAAATCAAAGGTAAAAGTGTGTAAATATCTAAAACATTATTAAGAATCAGTCTTACTTTTGGTAAAAGTCAAACGCAAATTCCTACGTAAAATTGAGCTAAGACATTAAGTTGTAACAACAGACAATTCCGACCCTTGTCGAGAAACTTTTTAATTATTTTTAGTTACATAATGTACATAACACTCACGCCTGTCATCCAGAGGGGTAGGCAGAGACTACAGACTTCCATTTGGCACGATCCTGACACACCTCTCTCGCCTCTTTCACATCCATATACCTACGCATATACGCTCGTCGGTTAAGGGTACTTTTAATTTGGCCCATTTTTAATATATCACCAATTTGGTCGACAAACTTTTGCCTGGGACGTCCTTTTCCGACTCTTACATTCACTTCTGCAAGATATATTTGCTTTGTCAGTCTTTCCTCATTCACTTTTTCTTCATGACCAATGCACCGAAGCATTCCTTTCTTGATCCTGATCACCGCATCATCTTGAAAACCACACTCTTCTTTTATCACACAGTTTCTCACCCTATCACTCAGATTCAGCCCTAACATACTCCTTAGCGACTTTTTAGTTACAGAAAAAGTTAATGCTGTTAGTTATTTAAATTATACAGTTTTGAAAATGTAATTATGCAGAATTGTGGTATGGAATAGGTTAATAGCTACAATTACTATTGCTTCAGCAAACGCTTAAACCATAGTCTTACAATTTCTAATTAAGAGAATCAAATGAGAAAACGGGGCATAATTAGTGGAAATTATCAGACCCCTTTTATACTACGACACTGCATCTAATTTAACGTATCGTTTATATTTGAATTATTTTTAAAAGTAACCAAATACCTTAAATCCCTCACACCTTACATAAATTTGTGAGGGATTTTCAATCAATGGAAAATGAATAATTTAAAAACATTCTGTAGCTGTTTTTTAATTTTTCATTTTAAGCCACACAAAATGCTGGGCTTAATAACAAATATTGTACACCAGAAATGTGTTGGCTTTAGTCCAAAGCAGATTTACAATCTGAATTATATAATGATAACTGTAGTAATATGATCTATGTTCAGCAGTGGACTTGTGAAGGGCTCGAATGATGATGATGATGATGATGAACTGTAGTAATGTCATGCACAAAATGTGGATAAATTAGAAATGCCACCAAATACCAATGAAACCACAAACCTTATTCATGATGAATAATGTTTGTGGTTTCATTAATTCAGAAAAACTTATCTTGAGGAACATGAATCTTCCTCCCCCATACATTACCTCATAGGAGGTATATTTGCCATAGTTGTCACGTTCGAAAGGCGGTTTTGCAACCGCATGTTTGAAACCACAGTTAATTGAGTTATTTTCAGGAAGATGTTTTGCCCATCTTATGTATCAGTTTTCTCGGTCACTTCTTACGACTTCCACAGAGTGATATGGGGGAGTGCTTATTCTTAAACCGCGACAATACGACACACATAATGGCGGTAACGATTTTACATACCTCGACTAAGGGGCAACGTCAAAGTGCAACACATCTGATACTGTGATCGCCGATCCATTTGCCAAAGGTGAGGATAAAGGCAAATTTTTTGAGATCAAATAAAAAACAAAAAGCCTAAAAATTGGTCACCCTCTTATATAATTTTAGGCAAGCAGAAATATGCTCAGTGGTAATTATCTACTTGAAAGGTAAAAGAACCAATATCCTCACGGTCACATGAGATATTCCTTCACCATGTGGCATAGCAGTAATAGAACCCATCACCTTATTTCATGAGTGTTACAGAAGACGATTAAGTAAAATCATAGTATTATGATCAATGTACCGCATTATAACCATCCTGTTTTTGCCACTAATTATAAAACTTATCATAAGTTGCTCCGTTAATATAATCATTATAATCTGCCTTAGATTTCAACTAAAGTATGTATACTGCAAAAAATTTAAAACGCTTTTAAGTTTTAAAATAACGATTGCAAAAGCTTTTATCATATGAAGTAACACCGATAAATACATTTTTTTATATAAACTTGTAATCAATCTTAAAAAAGTTATCACTGTGATTATCCCCTGCCAATCAATCACGTCCTCGTCTGACCCTATAGGAAGCAATCGACCATGGGTACTTTAATATGTCTTTTAAGATTAACTGCCTCTACCGAAATTAAGCCCTTAAGTTAACGATTTGAATGTAGGATGGTACAATACCGTGATTTATCCAATCGCGGTTATTGTAACAAATTTATATTTATGATTGAGCGGTTAAATGATTTCCCGGCGGCACCGCAATTCCCGCCTTCGATGGTATCCAATGGTAAAAAATCAGTCAAAGGATATCTACCTAATATCTCCTAAAGTAATTCATTACTTTTTTCTTAAGTTGCTAAACTCAACTCAACACCAAGTCCTCACTTATACCTCACATAATAAAATTTGAAAAAATAGGATATTGTTGGGGAGGATTCCAGCTTGAAAAAAGCGTTTCTTTTGTCGCCTCTTACGACACAAACAGGATGACGTGGGGTAGTGGAGATATTCTTACACCGCCACTCCTCCGTAACAATCCAGACAAATTGTAATTCGTAGCAAATTGTCTAAGCAGTTTCTTTTTAACATATTTTTTCCCCAATTATTTTTTACCTTTGCATCATGGTCACATATTAAACCGTCATTAATAATTAAGTCTGTGTTAACTTAATCTGCAAAATAGATAAATCTTACAGATAACATTTAACCCCTTGTCGTAAGAATATACCCTCGTCACTGAAACGTGACTCGTTTTTGTATCACGGATATTTGAACTAATTTTGCTAAAATGAACAGCTGCATATGTTGTTGTTTTCAAATGTGGCATATAAATAAAGGGAAACTTAATTACTAAGAATATATTAATTTTTTTAATCGCTTTCTCGTTTCAAAAGTGTTAAACGTTCCGTCTATTTCGTTTCGTAATTTTCTAAAAGATAACTGCGAAATGCGGAAGATTTCTTATAGTTTCCGATAGATGACGCTATATGTATAAAGATCGAGCCAAACGCAAAATACATAGACTAGCAACATTGAGCTATTATATACTACGTACTAGAGGCGACACTGCATTCAGCTACTCTGTTCCACTCAACTGCGGTGCATACACCGCACTTTAATCAGTCACTCGCTAGGCGCTTGTAGAGTTGTCACGTGTTGTGTTGATTTAAAAAAAAATCTCTTGATAAAAATATGCCGTCGTGTGTACTTAGATATTGTACAAATAATTCAAAAAATGTCAGTAAAAACCAAGGAATTACTTTTCATCGGTTAATAAGATACTTAATCAATAAAAAAATATTAAGAATTAATAATAAAACAAATTATTCCTAAGACGCCATCTCGTGTCATGGAATATAGATTACGAAATTAATATGTTCTGATGCGATATTTCTGTAGGTACTTAACTATAGGACGAATATATTATTATACACATTTTTTGTAG